ACCCTGGATTACCACTGACCTGAAGGAACTGCTAAACCAGAAAAAAAGAGCCTTCAGGGAGGGAGACAGGGAATTATTGAGGAGCACACAGAAGCAACTAAAAGTCAAGATAAGAAACAGCAAGGAGGTGTCCAAGAAGAAGCTGGAGAGCAAGCTCCAGCAAAACAATATCAGAGAGGTGTGGTCAGGGATGAAAAAGATCACTGACTTCAAGCTGAAGGAGGATCAGAAGGATGGAAGCCTGGACAGAGCCAACAAACTGAACACGTTCTTCAATAGGTTCAGTTCAGGAACAAGCTCAGCACCAGAGCAAGTGACTTAAAAAATATCAACAAGCTCATAAAGAAGGCTGGCTCAGTTCTGGGGATTCCTCTAGAACCTTTGGAGATGATTGTACAAAGAAGGATTCTTCATAAAAGGAAGAACATTATAGACAACCCTCAGCATCCTCTTCATCAGACTGTCATACAACAACAGAGTGTCTTCAGTCAGAGGCTTCTTCAGATCTGTTGTAGGACAGAACGCTACAAGAGATCCTTCCTGCTCACAGCATCAGCATCTATAACAACTCTTTAATGAAACCAGGATGATGAGTTACCACAACATTTAATTTCCCTCTGGGATTAATAAAGTATTTTTAAATTTGAATATGAATATATATATATATATATATATATACACATGTGTATATATGCACACAGACCCTTTCCAAAAAATTTGGCTACCATGGAAAATTTTTACCTGCAAAATCAGAATGAAAACCACCCAATCTGGCAACTGTTCGCTGACATATTTGACGTAGTTGCAAAGGGTCAATAGCAGCAGCTACGTTCACGTCGCCCATCTTTCGGACGACTGTACGGCCATTTTCTCGTTGCATGTCGGTGCAATGATAATAAAGCTTATTCTGATTCTGATTCTTCTGAAATCGGGATTATGAAGATTACCCTAAAATACATTTTCCGAACTACATTTAACATCCATTAAATTAACTTTAAATCTTTTAAATTCCAGGTTTATTCTCATTATTCCACATAAAACGTTTCCAGTTTAGAAAGATCCCAGATGTTTGCAGCCTCCTCCTGCATCTGTTGTACAATATTTCTGTTCTGCTTGAAGTGATTGAATGAACTGACTTTGAAGTTGAGTTGTCTCTGCTCTTTTTAGGACAGATCATTTATTAAAATCTGTTTTGGCTCCAGCACAACGTCACTCCCTCAGCTGCAGTTACAACAAAAAAAAACTAAAGTCATCCTACCAAACTGTGTTTCAGACATTGAAGGGCGGGCTGTCAGAGACAAGGATTGAAAAACGCATCGTCATCACCGGAGACTGTGACATCGACCACGATCAGGTCAGATTTTTCTTCACTCGGCTTTAGCTGCTGCTTCAGCTGCTTCAAGCTGGTGGGTCACTTTGTTCTCAGCAGATGTGGGTGGTGTGAAAGACTCTTAGCGATTTATTTTTAGTCTGTTTTCTATCCAGATCCCATAATTGTCACATTTTACGTTAAATTTTGTGTTTAAACATTAGAAATATATTAATCTCAAAGCTGTGATCAGTCATCTGGTGACATGTCTGTCATGTTGCTTGTTTTCCAAATATATTTTTATTATTTTGGAAAAAAATGTCCAAAATCCATCTGTTCCACTCAGAATTTACTCATTCATTGCTTTTGTAACCTCCTCACTTATTCCCGCCTGCATTCAGAAAGCTCTCGAACTCTGAGACTCGTATTTTTTCTGTTCTTTTGTCTGAATTTGTTGCTCTTTTAGTTCGTTCGTTGTGCTTTTATTGTGTTTGATCTGTAAAGCCGCATAAAGTAAAATAAACACCGCAACATGTTGCAACTTTACGTTCTAAAACTACACTAAGATTATATTTGATAACAGAATTTAATCTCTTGAGGATAAGCTCATTTAGATACAGTCACTAAAGTTAAAAGACTCTTTCAGCTCAGTTTGCGGTCACCTCAGTCTTAATATTTACAAGAAATACATTTAAAATATGCTGCAATTTTTAAAATATTAGTCATGTCTGCCTCACATAGACTGATCTGCAAAATTATAAGACCTATAAATGCAAACTCTAAGGAATATCACATTTGTAAAAGGGTTATACAAATTAAACTTCACGATTTTGCATAAAATGTTTATTCTAACCTCAGTTTTAATATAAATAAATCAAAACATTTGATTCAGCATTAGGTTTGCATGAGTCTTGACCCTCTTTTTTTGTTTCTTTGCCTTTATTCTATTTTGCTGGATTCACGCAAGAACAGCGCTCCACTGTTCTCTGTTGGAAATGATTATTTTTTAATAATTTTTGCTCGTTCGAAGCCATTTCACTGAAACGCTCCTCCCGTTTATCATCCTGTCAGCCGGAGAGGAAGAGAAATGGCTCGCCGATTGTAAATCTGGCAATCGTGTGATTTATTTTGTTTTCATTGTCATGCTTCTTATTTCATTTTATTTTTGTTTTACCTGCATCATTTCCACCCCTCACCTTCCTTCCCTCCTGTGCCTGCTGTGTTCGGTGCTGCCACCGTGTGGCTGCTCCTGGCTACTGCAGGCTCTGGCACAGGCCATTAAGGAGGCCAAAGAGCAACATCCTGACATGTCTGTTACCAGAGTGGTTGTTCATAAAGAAACTGAACTGGATGAGGAGGAGGATTGACTGAACTCAGGTAATATGAGCGATAGTTACTCATTATCTGTTTGATTAGTGTTGTTTTATTAGAAGAGGAGTGACAGCTGCAGCTCAGCGTGTGTGTGGAGAATAAAGGACAAAAAAAAAACAGTTTGGTGCTGATGTCTCCCAATCTGTTTCCCCAGAACTGAAAGGCCCACGGTGACTGTTTCCTCTTTTGACAACCAACGATCTTCGCCACGCTGCAACGACCGACCCCGACGGTGAGGAAGACGAGAAGGAGTTTTAGCCAGCGGGGGATGAAGATGTCGCTCTCCTCCCAGATGGTCTTCCTCACATGTCTTTGGTGCACTTCAATCCCTCAATGCAACACCGAGAACATTTTCACTCGATCCGAGGGAACAAAAAAGAACCGTTTTGTTAGCTCGACATCTGTAGCTTGTTTTTGTTTTTTATTAGAGCGTTTTATTTACCTGAAAACTGTAGTGTCATGCATAACTAAAACTAAAGATGCTCCAAAAACTGACTGATAAGATTTAAGCAAGCTTGTTGTACCCCAGCATTACATAATTAATCTTTTTTTAATTAAAACTCAAAAAGTCTAAAGCATTTTTTAATCAAAACAGGAAATATCGTGAATGGGTAATAATCCCGATGGTTTTTGGTGCATTTATTTAAAAAAAAAAAAAAGATAAAAGCAGCTCCCTGATCAAATATATAACTCAATAATTGTTTTTTTATTATAAAATGAATTAACAAGTTAGGCAGCAAGGAACGTGTAAGCACAACTATGTTTTAAACACTTTATAGAAGTAAGTTATGCCACATTCTCACAGCTTGAATAAAAGAAGGAGCTGTAGCTTAAATATTGCAGAAAATCATCCTGAGCTTTGATTTTTATGTTGTTTTTCTACAAGAATAGTTCATCCACATTCCTCAGCAGCAACAAGTTCATCTTCAGCAACAGGAGGAGATAATATAACTTGAAAAAAAGGGGTGGGGGGATAATAACAGCAGCAACATTAATCAGGCTGAAGAAGCCAAACGTAACATTTAATAATCATTGAACTGAAAACGAACAGACTTCAAAGCTACCGTTAAACGTTTTAAACAAAAGTTGTGAAATAACAGCTGCTGCTTATGAACTGGACACTAATCGTTCCTTCTGGGCCCCACGGGAACAAGGGAGAACAAACCTGACCTTTGATTGGGAGAGAGGGCCTGGAAACTGGAGGATAACTGGGAGAAATAACAACTTGGCGATTTAAAAGAAAACTGAATATTAATGCAAGTTGGCCTTAATCTGTGGGGGAAACTAGCTTCAGCGCGTTACGTTATGTTCTGCACAGAGTCGTTTTGTTTTCTTGGGACGATGTGTTATATAAAATTTAATCCTGCGTTTGGATTTAAATTGTTCACGTAGCAAAGGTACCAAAACGACCAAGACTTGAAACCAGTTCTGTCCCAGGTGCAGCTCCGCTCACTGCAGCCCGTGTGCTGCTGCTGCACCGTTCACACACAGCTTCTCACGTCTTTACTGTAACAAACGCAGCCTGTTGGAGACGATCAGATTCTGCACGTTTCACCGTTTCCACCTCGTCAGTTCAGACGGGACGCGGACACGCCGATTCAGCAGGTCGTCTGTATCGGACCAGTTCTTCTGGACGACGTAACCTTTTCTCTGCAACCAAAATGACAACAGAGTTTCTTTCATTGCACCTCGCACACACAAATCACAAACAAAACACAGAATCTGTCACTAAACCAAACAGTCACAACAGAATAGTAAAAATAATCTTTAAGGGAAACACTTCAGAGGGTTTGAAGCCCCTCTGAACCCCCTGAATGAAACCTTGTAATGGTTACTTCTTATTTTGTTCTTTTTACTCATAAATCAACAAAAACATGACTTTGTGTGGCAAAGAATGTGTTCAAACATGACCTAACGCCTTTATAGCTGATAGATATTCAGCGTGAGCAGCTTAAAGACACAGACGTGGGCAACTTAAGGCCCGAGGGCCAAAAGTGGCCCTTGGACAATCTCCATCAGGCCCCCAATATCCTTAGTTTAAAAAAAAAAAAAAAAGATTAATTTTTTTAAAAAGCAGCAATTTACCAATGAGACTTAAGGAAATTTAAATTAAACATCTTGTGCAAAACTTTAAATAAAACATTTTTTTAAGTCATGTTTTCAGAGCTGGACTGAACCTTAAAGGCTTACAAACACAAATGTTTAATTTTGCATAGTTCCGCTAACATATATAACATGTTAAGCTAACGTGTAATATAATGTTACAAGAGCCAGTTTACAGAATACCATATTTTTCAGACTATAAGATACACTTAAAATCCTTTAATTTTTTTTTTTAAATCATCAGTGAGCCTATAATTCTGTGCACTTCATGTATTAATTCTGGTTGTACTTACTGACCTCGAACTGATTTTCTGTGGTACATGGCACATGGAAATTCGTCTAAATGAACTTGTTTCACTTAATGCACCTTATAGTCTGAAAAGTACAGTATGTCCTATATTCCTGAAGGATTTTGGAAAGACTTGTTTTATAAAGCGTACTAACTACGCTACAACAAGAAAAAGGTCTTCTAGATTATCTGTCATAAAGAACATTTATTTTCCAATCCTCTCTGCGGCCTTTGATTGCTTTAAACGTCTTGATGTGGCCCTTTGAAAAAAAAAAACGTTGCCCACATCTACGTTAAACAGTAACGTTCCACTGAAACCCTCCCTGTGAGATAAATTAGTTTCAGGATGTGAATTCCTTTTAAAAACACGTTATTTGAACTGAAATATCTCAGATCATCTTCATGTTTAAACATCATGAAGCCAAATGTTTGCAGTAAACGGAGACTTCAAGTCAGGGTTTGACTTTATGCAGGTATAAATGACATTCCAGGAGGGGGAGGAGCTTTAACTCCTGATCCTTCTAAAGCAGCAGAACAACCTTTTGAAAACCAATCTGAACTTTTCACCTCTAGGCAGCTCTTTTCACCGTTCCAAACGAAGCAACAAGTCGTTAACCACGTTTTGTAGACGTTCTCATCATTTGTCGTTTTTCTGTGACGTTCTTCCAGCTGTTGGAAGCTGGGATTTGTTGGACCATGTCTGGAGTTTGTAACGTTGTCGCCGTGTTTTGTTTTGCTTTTTTGACGACGAAGGAACGCCACTAAAAATGAACATTTCTGCCACCTCCTTTAGCGCCCGGGTCCACCCTTTACGGAAGGTTCTTTTGAACGGATCACGGGAACTTCGTGGCCGCACGGTTGAGATTTCCAAAATGCTTACAACTCTGTGTCAGAAATATATTTTTTAACAAACTCCAAACAGTCACACAATACAGTGGATTGTAACGTTTTTATTACGATTTTTAAAAAAAGGCAGCACATGCATGTTTGGACTGTCACAGTTAAATACATTTTTATTGGTTTATGCAGAATTGAAATTGAAATACTGACCGTCGGGTCGTGTTTTACACGTCAGACAGAAACCAGCAAATAGAAACTGCATCTGTATCAACATTACCAAGAAGCAGGTTTTGGAAAATCAGCCAGCTGCCACGTTGCTTCCTGTTTGCTCACCAGTTGCCACTGGTGTTTTTTCTTGTTTTGTTTAGCATCGTGTCTCGTGTCTCCCAACACAGCCACTCTCCCTCCCTGTGCAACACTGTTTAAATAAAGGAATGTTATGCTCTGAAACCTTCACTTTGTTTTCTTATACATTCACTTGTTCGTCAAAAGAAACTAATAATTGTGCTTTTTATTCAGAATTACACTTTTCCACATTCCTTACGTTCAAAGGTTTACATACAGTGATAGCAGTAAACATTTGTAGAAACCAATCATGTATCAAAAAGGTTTTGTGGTTTCTAGATCACCCTGAGGACTTCAAGAGGCCCGAACAGACTCACATCATAACGGATCAGAACAAACCTTTAGGATCTAAAGTCATTTCTGCCTCTTCATTCATTAAATAGGGGCAGCTGTGGCTGAGTGGTTAGAGTGGTAGCCCTACAGTGGGAGAGCTGGGGGTTCGATTCCACCAGCAGCCACATGCCGAAGTGTCCATGGGCAAGACACTGAACCCCTCATTGCCTCCGATGTGTGTCCCTTCAGTGCATGACTGATCTAAAGCACAGATTAGTCTCAACAGATTCAGATTATCTTTGAGAGATGTAGTAGAGCGCTGTATGAATGTGTGTGTGGAGGTAAATGAGGGCGCAGATTGTTGTAAAGGACTTTGAATATCTTGATTAGATAGAAAGGCGCTTTATAAGTACAGTCCATTTACCATTTACTCAATAAAATGTCTAAGTGTGCTACAGCTGTGATCATCAACTGGTGGCCCATTGGCCTCTTTGAGTTTATTAGTGGGAATCTTTGGAGTAACAATAAAAAATATGTAATGGTTTTACATTTATTGGTATTTACTACTTATGACAAAAGAAACAACCAAATTCGTGTAAAGAAAAAAAAATAGTTTATACCAATTTTGATCTTATGCGAGTCCTATTTGTGGACAAAATGAAGCTTTCCCACTTGGTTTACTGCCTTCATACATCTCCTACATGTCATGTCAGTGCAGCTACAGCGTGCGCTCCCAGGACATCATTACCTGCAGCGTCCCCTCAGTGCGGAATGAATTTGGCAAAACGTCCTCCTCCGCCGCTCCTGTAACACCTTGCAAAAAGATCTGAAGCTCTCAACCTTGACTTCTCTAAGGCAGGTGTTCTCTAACCTTTTGGGTTCAATGACCCCTTACAGGAGAGGAAAAAGTTTCAGGGACCCCCTCATAACTCATGTTTATTAAATAATTTTCTTCAGTTTGTCTCTTTAATGCAATGGAAATATTTGTAACATGCATACTTATACTTGTTCTTTAATAGTGTTGATACAGTTTTTTTTATACTTTTTAACATGGAGTATTTTTCATTCAAGACAATTAAATTGTTACAATAAGTTCATCTGGTTGTTTTTTTTTTTTTTTGTTTGTTTTTTAGCTGAGACGTTTCGTCCTTCATCCAAAGGACTTCTTCAGTCCGAGGAGCCACAAGCTGGAGTCCCACAAACACCAACTCCCAAACTGTAACAAAATTGTTCATTTTGGGGAAGGCGTCTGGGGGTCCTCCCCCAGAAATTTTTGAAAAAAGTAGATGTGATTTCCTGCATTTTGATGTATTTTAACAGGTTGTTAAACATCTATGTTGTAATTTTTTTTTTTTTTTTTTTTTTTTTTGCGGACCCCAGTTTGAGAACCAGTGCTCTAAAAGGGATTTTAAACTACTGTTCAGTTCAATGCACAAATCAATACAGACATGTTCCTGTTTATAGTATCTTACACCGTTTTATATTGTAGCATGATTTTTTGTTTTAAGACACTTCTTACATATTTTTCATTTATGGTTTTTGTTTAAAACAGGTCTCTCTTGTAAAGGAGTCCTCGTGACTCAATGAGACTAACCTGTATAAATAAAGGTTGACTGAATGAAAAACTTTCAAGTAATAAAGTGAATAACAAATGTTGACCAGTTTGTTGCACATGTAATTGTTATTAACTTTGATTTTTCTTTTCTTATTACCAAATTAACTCACCATATTTCTTCTGAGAAAACACTTTTAAAAAGCTGACTGGAAAATGAGCAGAACTAGACTTTTCTGTTGTTGGTATAAAACCCATAAAAACTGGTTCCATGTTTTAGTCAAGTTATTTTGTGAGTGGGCCTTGTCAGGAGCACGGACGTGACCCGAGGCGCCTCCTCTGCTGTGCAGCTCCACAGCTCGGCCTGCAGACGGTGCTCCGGCCCCTCTGAAGCCCTGACAGCTCAGCCTCAACTGGGAATTCAACAGAGCAACATTTAAAACATGATTAAATTCAATAAATAGTTAAATGTGGAATAAACAGCAAATTGTGTCTGTAAAAGTCTATTATAAACATTTTGACAAGAGTTGGAAACACTTCGACTGCTTAAACCTGAAATATTACCGATTCTTATCCAAAATACTTCACTGACTTGGAGTGATGTCAGTGGTTATTATTAAAGTTTAAATATTGCTTTCACTTGTAAAGTATTTAGAAATAATATATTTTTATACCTAAGAAATTCAGTTAGGAGTGGCATTAACTTATCCTGCCACATCAGGAACTCAAAGCAAATCATAGTTTCAGCTTGTAGTTCATGTTCTGACAAATTAAATTAAAAATATAGTCTTATGTTACAATATTATAGATGTACTGTAATACAGACATCTGTGTGTTAGCATTTAAAACTAGCTCATGCTAGCGTGCTTATTGTGTTATTTTAAGCTTATTATTATTAAATTGTTTTTGTCTGCTTGGAGTTCAAGTACAATGTGTTTGTGCTGCTGTTCAGAGTATTGTTTTTATGCTACTAGTGCTTAGCATATTTTTAGTTAATGTTTTACTTAGTTTATATGTTAGATCTTATTACTGTTCTCTTTTACATTTTATTGTTGGATGTAACTGGGACTCTGTGTACATAATTTCGTTCCACCACATGTACCACATGTGTTCCAAATGACAAATAAAGAAACTCTGAACTACGCTCACCTTTTTGAATGGTGTACTTTGTTCTGTTTTGGTTCCTAGGAACTGGAGTAGTGAAACATTAACAGCGTAAAATGTTTTTCGAGGTTTATAACTTCTGTTGTTCAGACTTGCTCAGATATAAGACATCGGACAGGGGCGCCTTCAGAAAGTCTTCAAAGCGGGGGCCACTGAAAGTCTTGGGGTGGCCCACCAAAACCAAAAGCCATAACATGACTCCAAAAGTTTTGGCACGCTGTTTGAAAAATACTGTGATGTTAGGGAAACAATTCTAAAGTACTGGCATGTATTTATACTCAGACTTGTTGAATAAAGTCCGCTGCTAAAAACAAAAGTTACAGTATTTTCAATATAAGTTGTATCTGTCCAAAAATGGAAAAAGTGAAAAAATAAATAAGTCGATTTGCCGTTTAAGTCTCATCTATTATGTGTCACTGCTGACAACCCAGAAACGTGGGCTGGTGTTGTGCCAAAAATCGATTGGCTGCCAAAA